GCAGATCTATGGTAGCGATGGTAGTAACGGAGAGGCAGCTGTGGGTAAACCTGGCAAACATCGGGAAGAAAGAAAGGGGTTTTCTTCTCAATGCCCCGGTTTTGCCCTCTGAACTTTTTGGTACATCCATTGAGACGGTCGTCGAAAAGTTCAGGGAGGCGAAGGCGCGCTCATTGCGTGAACTATCCCTTTAAGGGGTGTTTTTTGGCATGATGTGAAGCTAATTCGGGCATGGACTGGCTTTTCTCTATGGCCTAGCTGTAACATATATGCATCTAGCCTACATTTGCCATACATTGCATTCAAAGTACACATTTTATTAAGTTCTTGCATTTTAACAGAACTCGGTCAAAGCCGCTTTTAATATGTAAGTGAACATGGTAACACTGGCATCCAGCTAACTTTATTGAACAAACTGCTTAATATGATATTATTCCTTTGTTGCTCAAACAGCACATCGTGACACTACCAACAGCAAAGTTTTGGGTTCAGATCCCAGGAAATTCATAAACTTAAAAAATATATATATAGAATGCATTCAGTGCAAGTCGCTTTGGATAAAAGTGCCCGCCAAATTCAAAAATATAAAGAGTTGATGGTAACATTTTGTAATAAGGTCCCATTAATTAACAGTAGTTATGCATTAAGCAACATTTAACTAACAATGAGCAATTCATTTGTTACAGTATTTATTAATATTTGTTAATGTTATTTAATAATGCAAATCTGCAGGCACTAATTGAATCCCTTAAAACTCATATGTGATATTCTGTGTAACATACAGTGTTCAAAACCTAAATTCCCTGTGAAAATAATTGGTTAATGCCTCAAATGGCTTGAATATGCAAATTAATCCCCGCCTCCACTCAATCACACGTAAAAGTAAAAGCTAAACACTACACAATACAACGTAATCTGCATATACCCGTACAGAAAACGTGAATTTTGAAGCAGTTTTGTTTATTTTTGAAAGCCTGTGTTTCTAATAAGTAACCTTACAAGACAGTTTGGGATGTCAGTGTCTGTACACACATAATTGGATAAACCCCATTATAACACCCCATAGAAAAATCTTGAAGAAACCACTGGTGAATTAGTCTTCCAGGTTTCAAACTGCGTTTTTAAGACTTTTTTTGGTTTACTGCAAAGAGAAAATGCTTAGCCATGGTGTTGACTGATGAATTTGCACATGGTTTGTCTTTAAACATTAAAACACCAGACAGACATGCAAACAACGCTAAACACTTGATTTTCACCACACGGAGTCTTTATCTAATGTTAACAAATGGAACCTTATTGTAAAGTGCTGCTGAGTAATTTATTAACAAAGAATACAAACCAAAAATAATGGTGACATATTCTGTTGTTTTTATGAGTGTTGTGTGTCTATCCTAGAGCTGTACACTGTGAAGGTACTGACAGAAGCTGCCATGATGGGAGCTGATATAGATGGAGATGTTCTGCTCTATCTGGACATGGCCCAGGTAAGCGTACCATTGACAGACAGAATGAACATGTACCTGTCTGTCTGTCTGCCTGTTTTTAACATATAAAGCATTTTGATTTATTTAGGTTTGGGATTGTTCTTGTTTGCTGTTTTTTCTTGTAGGATCTGGCAACACAAATGAGTCAAACTTGTACTTTTTGCCTGTGTTTTCTTGCACTGCTCATCAGAGCATGTGAGCGAAGCAGAGCGGTGTGACGCTCCGCTACATTTTCCGCTCTATGGACGTGCGCTCCACTCAGTCGCTCTAACCGCCCAAGCAAGCGCTCCATTAATATTCCGCTCACGCTCGCCGTAAACCAATTCCCGCTCAGATCCCGCTCCGTTCTGTAAAGAACAAATTTGCGTGCATTATATTAGATTATAAATTACTGCTGCCTATATCTAGCCTACATTCTGTAGGACTACCTATTGGTTCGGGTCAGTTTTTTTTTAAATAATATTTTAATAGGCCTAAGTGGTGTAGGCTAATATCTTCTGTACTCTGTAGTTCTGTATGTAGGCCTATATACAGCTGTGTGTTAGCTTAGGTCTACAGTTTAACTGAGATTATTTAATAACTACAGAGCTCCGAATATAATTTGAATTAACGATTCGTTTCTACGACGTCAGCAGGTTTTATTTTTTTTTTTATTCATTTATTATTTATTCATTTTAAGCAATAATGATTTTAAGTAATTACGAAATATAATTAATTCCACGATTTAGGCCTACTAAAACTAGGGAATGAACGAATTAACGAACGAATGAATTCGTGCCAGCTAAGTCTAAACAAGAGAACGAATACTTAATTCGTGGCCATAATTTAGACTAAACGAAAAAATTAATTCTTAATTCGTGGCCATAATGTAGTCCTAGCATAAAAGAGAACTAGCCTATTCTAAATTCGTGGCCGTGATTTTGTCTGCATGTCATGATCGGGGCTCCGTACAACCGAATATAACCTTAGCCTACCTGTTTATTCATTTATTATGGTATGTAACTAGCTCACCTTTTGCTGCACCATGTTTGCGTAGCACATCCTCGTGCTCTCTGTAATCAATATGAATCTGTACTAACTTTAACAGTCTCCCCGCACTCCCTCTCAGTTTCTTCTCCCTGCTCATTCTTAACTTTGATTTTTACTTTACATTTATGTATAAGGCTTGCAACTTCGTTGAAACAATATCTGAACTCCATAACTGCTCTACTATTCTCGATCTCTACAGATTCTCGATCTCGAACAAGCAAATCACCAAACAGCATTCTGGGTTGAGCGAGTGGCGCTGAGCGTATTGAGCGAGCGGAGCGGAATCTTCAGAAAGGCGCTTTGCGCTCTTAAGGAAATATTACCACTCCGCTCACGCTCCGCTCCGCTCACATGCTCTGCTGCTCATACAGAAGAGAGACACAACTCTGATACACGTTTAAATACGTCATTAACAACTAGTTGTTCAGTTGTACACACTGCGTAGAATTTCTGTAAATACATTTGTTACTACCTAAATGTTTCAGGAATATTCAGCTGTAGAATGCGGTTGTCACTCAGTAAAATACTGAAATGTGTGTGTACAGAACAGGATTAAGAACTAAAAGGTGAATTGACAACTACATTTAGTTGCAGTGTGTACATGGCTGAAGTGATATGAATAAAGAGTCTCTGTTTTAGGAGTGGTTAGGAACCAAATAGACTAGTTGTTTAGAGGTCTAGGAGGGGACTCAAAGCATCTGATTTTCTCCATAGTGTTCTCTTCTGTGTGATTGTTCCCTTTAGTTCCACTGTGCTCATCAGTTGACTGACTGGTGCCTCCATCACATCTGCACCAACTACAACAGAGTCTGTCGCAAATTCCCTCGAGACATGAAGGCCAAATCTACAGGTAATTCAACAGCCCCTCAGATCAGTATAAATGCCAATTTTTCAAGAATTATTTTAACTTCAAAATTAATATTGAGACATGACAGTCTGTAAAACTGAGACCCCTATCATGCTCATTTGTTCAGATGTTTTCATTAGCCAACTTTTTCTGCTACAGACTTTTGTAATGAGACAAATTCTTAATCTAAATAAGTTGCGTTGGTCATTGAAACTGATAAAAATCATCATGTTTATTGTATTATTAATCTATTCTATCTACTTGTTTTGATTTATCATAAAAAAACTTGACCCTCTATCACTAGCGTTCTCTGTTCTTTTTCCTACTAGTTTTCTTTTTAATTATTATAAAAAAAATAACTTCTAAAACTAGCTCTTTCCATTGGATATCTATCTCTGTCTAAAAAAGCAAAAACCTTGCTACATGTACTGCGTTAGACTAACTGGGATTTGTCACAGCACTTATATATTTTTGTTGGTTTGATTGCTTACATTGTCATTATTCGATGCTGTCTGTGAAATTGTTAAATGTATTATACTGCATATATGTTCTTTAATATTAAAACTAGGTAAATGGACTTGGAGCAACATGATAATGAGTAAATAATGGATTTTTATGAACTCTTCATTTAATTCAAGATATATTCTCTGAATATATTCTTAATATTGAACACAATTTCTATATTTAATAATTTAATTTATCCTGTATACACAACCATTCAAAGGGTCTGGGCCAGTAAGATTTCTTTTTTTTTTTATTATAATTTTAGTAAAAAAGGATCAAAAGTAAATAAATAATAACACAAAAAGCCTGCTGAAAATTGAGCTTTACCATTTTAGGATAACATTTTATGTTAAAATAAACTCAAAAAAAGAGTCATTTTAAATTGTAATAATATTTCACAGTGTTTTTATTGTATTTTTGATCAAACAAAGCATACTGACTGATTAGTGTATAATACATTTATTTTGTTTTAGGGATGTTTGGCTATTTTTCCTAGAAAGCAAAGCAAAAATGAATACTGAATACTGAGAATTTTATTTTTTCCAGTGTGGCAGGCGTCCCTAACCAAACAGTTATATCAGTACTGAAATTAGTTTGGCATTAAGCTGGTATCACGGTCTCATTCTGTCTTGCAGAAAACCTGGAGCACTTTGAGAAACATCGCTGGCCTCCAGTGTGGTATCTAAAGGAAGAAGATCACTATCAGCGGGCGCGCAAGGAGCGTGAGAAGGAAGATTACCTGTACCAAAAGCGTCAGTGTAAACGCAAGTGGCTCTTCTGGAATCTACCGTCCTCCAATTCTCCATCTTCTCCTGGTTCTTCGGCAGTCATCTGATCGGCTCTCAGGGTGCATGACCCACCTAACAGCCATAAATGTGGGATATAAAAACAAGGCATGATAGCCTTTTTCAACTCTATAAGATGACCTATTCACATTTTCTGTTGAGCAAAATGCCCAAGCCCTGCTTTTAGCTGCTGAAGAACAAGCAAAAATGAAACAGGATGGAGAACGCAAGTCAAAGCAACACAAGGCTTTGACTAAAAGCACATTGCTGAGTCTTTCTACTGGTTGAATTTTTCATCAAATCAAATCAAATCAGCTTTGACATCATATCCTGCGGTATTAGAGCGCTGCACAGTTTGCTGTTAAAAGACAATCTTCGCTCAGCATCGGTTCCCCAAACATAACCATATCTTCATCTGTATAGAAACATGCATGGCAGGACTGCACATATTCATAACTTGAAATGCTAATAAGTGCTTTTCAGCTCTAAAGGACGAGAACACCGGAACGTTTTAGAGCAACCAGCAAATATAATCTACAATCAAACCACTTCAACAGACCGATGTTCTCAAGATTCAAATGGTGTTCACCATTCAACATCTAAAGTAGGGCTGCACGATTAATCGCATGCGATATTTAACGCGCATCTTATCAGTAAAGCCGGTTCTGTAATCAGCGGTAAATCTCCGTCACCTGCGGGCTTTCACATTGAGCAGCATTAACTACACAGAGCCGTTGTTCACTGACAAGTTGCGCAAAACCACGTTCATATTTGCGCGATTTTTTGCGCTGCTCATCAGTGAACAACGGCTCTGTGTTACATAAATTACATTTTACAATATACTGACATTGAATACAGTTATTTCAAATTGTAATAATATTTCAGATTTTTTTTACTGTAGTTTTAATCAAATAAATGCAGCCTTGGTGAGCATAAAAGACTTTTGGAAAACACAAAACTTATCAAGCCCAATCTTTTGAACCGTAATGTGTTTTCCGTGCTAATCAACATTATGCCTGTCGATACAGTTTAACTTGTATTGAACCCATTTTGCCACTTTATACATGATTAGAGCATTTATACGTTCTAGTCCTGCTCTTCATTGGTTTTCAGGCTGAATGTTACTTGTGCACAACAATCCTTTGAGACTCTTTGTTTTTCCTGCACACTGTGGTGTATATTTTTGACTATTTGTTAGACTGAAGCAGTCTTCTCTATTTCTTCCTCTCAATAATCGTAACCTCAGCTGACAAGTCCGGAAATCGAAACATTCAACATTCAAACGATTATGGGTTTACACAAAATCAGCATTTACTGACATAATGTCAGGTATTTGTGCTATCACAAGAAGAAGTTCAAGTTTACATCAAGATTGAGAAAGCTGCATTTTTGTCTCGATAACTATATTCTGGAAAACAGTAACAACCTGTGATATTATAACTAGATACTTCAAAACAGGATCCCGGGTGAACAGTCACACCGGGCTTCTCTACAGGGAATATAAAGAGTGCCTCAACACTGCTGACATTCAACGTGTGGGCACCAGCTGCTGTCTTTACCAAAGTAAGCTCACTTCTGCTTCAGAAGGTGGATGACATCAATCTACCACACACACAACACTATTTTAAATGTTCCCAGATAGCTTTCGGATTGAGTTTCACGGGCAGGCCTGTGACAATCCCATGATGCATCGCAGCATGCTACATTTGCGTAGTTAAGTACAGTGTTTCCTACACCTGCTAGATTTCAGCATCCCATTCCTGAGGGACACTTTAGGGTCTTTAAAATATGAATATAACTAGTAGTAACTTAGGAAAAGGTATTTATATGGCTATTCTAATACTATAAAGAAAATTGAACAATGCAATGCAAGGCAGTATTTAAGGTGCATTACCTCGCCATACAGGAGAGGAAACCTCACACGCATGTTTCATATAAACCCTTTGCGATTTGAATGTTTCTGATCTAGCACATGCGATAGTTGTAGAAGCGAATAGCACTTAAATGTACAGTAGAATGGCTTATTATAAGGAAATACAGTAGTTTTATAGTACCAGATTGACCTTTAGACTGAAAAAAGGTATAATATAAATCACCCTATGGAGAGTAAAAAGCAATCTGCTATGCATTTTCCGCCAGTTGTAAACTAATTAATATCAGAGAATGTTTTTCTGCTTTAATAAATCAGATTAAGAGCTGACCTGCATGTGCAAGGCTGTTGTAGCTGGAAGCAAGGGGATGTTGAGTAATACTGTTTCATTTAGAAACCCATAAATATATGCTGAGCTTTGAATGTAGATCTAGAACAATACCGATTGAGTTCCTTTCATTAGAAAATACATGATGGACTGTTAATCTTTCAGTGGGACGAGTGAAGATTTTTCTGTATATTACTAAGCATTTGTAACAGCACTCAGGAACGTTTGCTGACTCTTGTCATTAACATTAAGATGAAGTGTGATGAGGTTTTATCCTAAAGTGTTACAAGAAATTTGAAATGAATGATTTTAAGGAAGGATCGGTTTCTACCAACCATCCTATAAAAGACAAGAAATGTTTGATTGGTGTACATTTCACAGACAATTGCATCAGCCTGTTATTATATGATACACATGAAAATGTTCTACTTTTGAGTTTTTAGTTACCATTATAGAACATTTACAGTTATGTAACACTATTATATAAAGCAAAATAGAAGTGATGATATGAATGTATTGAAATATGACAGGTATCATGTACTACAGTCTGAGTTTTATTACTCTTTCAGAGTTAAAATTTAAAGAAATTCTGTTGCATTTTACTGTATCAACTTTGTCTCAGACGTTTCTCCTAGCATTCATATGAGAAATTGAAATGGATACAAATGAAACAATTGTTAATTAACGTGCTAAAATTTGCTGATAATTTACTCCCTCTCAAGCCATCCAAGATTTAGAAGAGTTTGTTTCTTCATCAGAACGGATTTGTCGAAATTTACAATTCCATCACTTGCTCACCAATGGATGCTCTGTAGTGAATGGGTGCCGTCAGAATCCAAACAGCCGATAAAAACACCACAAGTAATCCACACCACTCCAGTCCATCAGGTAATGTCTTGTGAAGTCAAAAGCTGTGTGTTTGTAAGAAACAAATCCATCATTAAGGCATTTTAACTTTAAACCTTTGTTTCTGGCTAAAATGTGAGTCCATAATAATGTTTCATCCAGTGAAAAAGTCCATCTCCTGTTATCCTCTCATATTAGAATCCACCCACATGTTTGATTTGGACTGTTTTGGCTTGTAAACAGTGCTTGATCTGCGCATATTTCTCTCCTGATTCAGACTCGTCACTTTTTTCACTGGAGAAATTCATATTATGGACAGATCACTCATATTTTAGCTGGAAACAATGGTTTATACTTGAAACATCTTGATGATGGATTCGTTTCTTACAAGCATGCAGTTTTTTCCTTCATAAGATGTAAACTGATGGACTGGAGTGGTGTGGATTACTGTGATGTTTTTATCAGCTGTTTGGACTCTCATTCTGATGGCACCCATTCACTGCAGAGCATCCATTGGTGAACAAGTGATGGAATGCTACATTTCTCCAAATCTGATGAAGAAACGAACTGATGAGTAAATGTTCAGCAAGTTCATTTTTGGGTGAACTATTCCTTTGAGCAAAAGTCTGCATTCAATCTTATTGCTGTCTTGGAGAAACAAATGAAATATTAAAGAGATCCTATTTGTGATTTTTATTTCTTATGAGTTTTTAATGAGCCAAGATTCACCTAATACAGATTGTAGAAACTCTCTGTGAGCAAAATAAGTCAAACTAATCCTGTGGTTGTACCTCAGATAGAAGCGAGTTACTCAGAACATTGTGTTCCCAATCTATTGCTGCAGAGAAGATACCCCATGCCTTAATGTAAAGTACACAAGCAGAAACGTTGCTGGTATTCACAGTTTGTATTTGAAATGTAATGAATCCTTTATGTATTATATGTGTTATACAGCAAATAGGTGCATATTGTGTAAAATCTGTCATATTGTTTGTTTGATGCTTATTCATCTATTCTAGCCCATTGTAACCATGTGATTTTCACGGTATTATCTCTGTGTTATGTGAACGTGTTATCATACATTGCCTTTCATTGCTAATTTGATATAGATTGCTGAATCCAGTCTCCTTGAATAAGTGTGGGAATCTGTACGACTATGATATGGAATAGTATGATTCCATGTCAATAGTATGACAATATGGAATAGTATGATTAAAAAAATATGTACCGAAAAGAAAAATTATCAGTTAGGTGCACATTATACACCTTTTAAATATTGACTACCTTGACATGCTGTGTGCACATAGGCTAAGGTTTTGGTTTGCTATATGAATGGTAAAAAAAAAGAAAAATATGTGCACTGTGGATGGAGCACAATATACTGCATACAGTGTCCTCCAAAGTAACCATGCACTTCCAAGCAGTTTCAGCCACTGAAGCATGTCTACTAATTTATTTCACTCTCAGATAAGATACTTAATCAGGGGTTAAAGCAGAAGAATATACAATATGTAAGTAAAGAATATAATTAAATAATTAGAAATAGTTGCTTTTAAATCCTATAGGAGCCCATTTTAATGAGCTCTAGGTCCTAGTGCCACTACTGCAAAGAAGCGCAAACCAAACAGAGTGTCAGCAGCACCACGAGATGTTGTTTTTGCTGCACAATTACAATAATGTAAGGCCAGTGGAGCAAAGAAGCCATGAAAGCCTTGAAATCAAATGACTGAAAGCAAAACTTGAATGTTCTCTCAGTATCTAGAAGCCTGATGGTGACCATTTGTATGGGAAACAGGCATTATTTCCATGAGCTGGTATTGGGGAGCGGGAGTTTGTATTTTCAGGAGACCTGCAGCATGTTTTCTTGAAGTGTGTAAATAGTGTTTAATAAACACAAACTAGCAGTTTGCATTTGTGTGTTTTTTGTATATTACCTGCCCCCTCTGCCATTAGTTTGCACTGCTATTGAGATGGTCCTCACTGCAGAACACAAGATCCAGGGGGCGAGGTTGGATCCAGATCCAACTCCTCCCACCTTACATATACCTAAACCTACCCGTCTCCACCCCCTGATCCCTAAACCCACCCATCTCCACTCCTAAACCTGCCCATCTCCACCCCCTAGATGTGGATCCAACCCCGCCACCTGGATCTTTGTTCTGCAGTGAGGGGCTACTGGTGCTATTAGCAAACACCACTGGTCTATAGATGCGTCAATCAATTTTTATTTGTTGTTAGTGCAGAGGTGCATCAAACAGTTTTTTTTTTTTGTCCCCGTCTGTTTAGTTCAGTTTAAGCATTCTGTACATTCTTCCACCATGGTTCCATAAAATTAAAGTTAATTAAGGCCTATTTAATGAAATACACATAAATTAAATATAATTTTCTATAGGTGACATATCATGTGATCTTTATTGAAATATCACATATGCTATGTGTATTTTAGCACAAAAATTAGTTTCATGTTGAGAAATTGCATTAATCATCTGAATTTAAAACAATTTTAATACCTACATTAAGGCTTAATCCTGCT